CTCTTTTTATTAATTTTGGTTGAAAGTCTATTTTATCAGATATTAGAATGGCTACTCCTGCTTGTTTCTTGTGTCCATTTGCTTGGAAAGTCGTCTTCCAACCTTTTACCCTCAGGTAATGTCTATCTTTGTGCCTTAGGTGTGTTTCTTGTATCCAACAGATTGCTGGGTTTTGTTTACGTATCCATTCTGTTAGTCGGTGTCTTTTTACTGGAGAGTTGAGTCCATTGATGTTGAGAGAGATTAATGACCAGTGGCTGTTAGATCCTTTGATTTTGATGTTGGCTGTGTTCATAAGGTTGTGTGCTTGGTTGCTTTTGTTTTACTGTAGTAAGGTTAATTATTTCCTGTGTTTTCTTGACAGAAGCTAATTTTCTTGGGTTGTATTTTCCCTTCCAGTGTCTTCTGTAATGCTGGATTTGTGTGTAGGTATTGTTGAAATTTGTTTTTGTCATTGAATATCTTGTTTTCTCCGTCTATGAGGACTGAGAGTTTTGCAGTGTATAGTAGCCTGGGCTGACATCTGTGTTCTCTTAGGGTCTGCATGATATCTGTCCAGGCCCTTCTGGCTTTCATAGTTTCTGTTGAAAAGTCAGGTGTGATTCTAATGGGTTTGCCATTATATGTTACTTGGCCTTTTTTCCTTGTAGCTTTTAGTATTTTTTCTTTTTTCTGTATACTTACTGTTTTGATTATTATGTGGCGGGAGGATTTTCTTTTCTGGTCAAATTTGTTGGGTGTTCTGTAGGCCTCATGTATCCTTATTGGCTTCTCCTTTAACTTGGGGAAATTTTCTTCAATGATTCTGTTGAAAATATTTTCTGGGCCTTGGAGAAGGGAGTCTTCTTTTTCCTCTATTCCTATTATTCTTAGGTTTTGTCTTTTCATATTGTCTTGGACTTCTTGGACGGTCTGTGTCAGGAATTTTTGGATTTAACATTTTCTTTGACAGATACATCGATTTCTTCCATTGTATCTTCTACACCTGAGATTCTTTCTTCCATTTCTTGTATTCTGTTGGTTATGCTTACCTCTGTAGTTCCTGTTTTCTTCCCTAAATTCTTCCTCTCCATTATTTCCTCCATTTGTGTTTTCTTTAATTTTTCTAGTTCTATCTTCAGGTCTTGAGTTGTTTTGTTTACTTCCTTCACCTGTCTGCTTGTATTTTCCTCTTTTTCTTTCAGTTCCTTCAACTCTGTCTCTTTTATTTCTTTCAGTGATTTAATTATTTCTTCTCTGAAGGACACAAGCTGTTTGGCTGCATCTTCTTGTATTTCTTCACGGATGGCCCTAATCTGCTTGTCTTTATCTTCCTCCATTTCTTTACGGATAGCCATGATCTGTTTGGTTTTATCTTCCTCTAATTCTTTACGTATTTTATTTGTTTCCTCTATTATCCTCTTCATCAGCATAGATGTAAGGTCATCTTCTTGATTTTCTATTATGCTGCATTGTTCAGGGCTGTTCGCCCCTGGACGGCTGGGTTCTGGAGATGCCATATTGCTCTGTCTTTTGTTGGTTGAGCTTTTATGCTGACCTCTACCCATTGGGCTGATTTAGGTGTTGGCTGTTAGTTTCTGTGCTTCCTGGAGTCCTGAGGTAGGGAGTATCCCCTTGGCCGGCAGATGATTTTTCCTGAAGGAGTCCTTCTCTGCTTTTTGGTTATGGCACTGTATGGCCAGTGTTTCTCAGGAGTTGCCACTGCTCACCTCAGGTTTATAGCCCTGAGTAGTAGCTGTGGTCTATGTTAGGCAGGGGGGGATCTCCTCTTACCCATAGAATTTCTCAAGACGGCTGCCCCACTGCTGGGTTTCTTGTTATAAATTTAGTGTGCTGCTGCTCACTAAATTTTCATGTATAGTCCTCTTGAAGAACCTGCTGATTCCCTAGCTGTGGGGTTTTCTCCCAACAGGGAACCTCAGTCTGTTATCCTGGGGCGCACAGTTCTCTCCGGGAAAGTGGGAGGTGCACTCAGCAAGTCTCTGGGCCAGAGGCTGATTGCTCCGCTCTGGACCTGGAGAATGTGCACCTAGGTTGAGTTGGCGCCTGGGGGCACTCCTCTGGTCTGGAGGCTGGGTGCCTCCCTCTGGACCAGAAGCTGTGTGTCTCTGTCTGGGATGGTGGCTGCAGGCACTGCTCTGGTCCAGACGCTGTGGGTGCAGCCCTCTTAAAGGACCAGGGATTCCCACAGTTTTAACAGTCTAGCTAGGGATAACTGGTTGATCCTTGGCACAGTATCTGAGGGCTGCTGTAATGGCTCTCTGGCTTTTGTAGGTCTGAGGATGCAGCTGTGTGTCCTAGGGGAACTAGGGGAACTCAGTAATGGCGGCAGAGCACAGCGCTCCTGCCTGCATTAGGCAGGGCTCCGTGCAGGCGCCTGGGTCCCGGTCTGGGTCTGGGCTGGCTCTTGGGGCGCCCGCGGAACCAGAGTCTTTTCCAGGGGATGTCTTCCCTGCTCCGTGGGGTTATCTCTCGACTGGGAAATCCAGTCTATGGTGTTGTGGGCCCACAGTTCAGTCTGGGACCGTGACCAGATCACGCTGGAGTGTAGCTCTGGGCTGACGACCAAGCGCCTGGCGGAACCGGGATCTCTTCCGCGGTTTAGCCGGGTGAGTTAAAGCTGATTGAATCCCCCACCGTGGGGTATCCTCTCACCTGTGAAACACCATCACTTGTGTTTTATGGCCGGGAGTTCTGATTGCTGGTCACTGTGCCCATCCTGCTGTGCTGCTCCTCAGAATGAGAGTCCTCCCAGCACCGCCATCTTGCCCCGCCTCTTATTCCTCATTTTTATGTCTGTTCTTTCCTTGACTTACTGGTACGTAGCCTCATGGCTCTAAGAACTATGAATATGTTAACACCCAGGTTTAAACTAACAACTTTGACTGCTCCCCTGAGTTCAGATACTGTGTCTGATTGTTGCTGTAGCTGTCCTGCCTTAACACGCGTGTTGCAGGATATTTGATCCTGTGAATCCCAAAATTGTGAACTGTAAAACCCTATTTCTGGATTGGTATGGTTGAGTCCTATTACACACCTTTAATTAAAAAAACTTTCTGCTTATTGTAGACAGGTGAATAGAATATGGTGTGGTTCAGCCATGCCTAGCACACGCCTTTAATCCAAGAGCTTTCTGTGTATAGGACTTAATAACGTTAACCCTAGATCAAAAAGCAGAGCAAGAAACCAGCTGACAGGGATTAAAGAGTAGGAGGGACTTTGAGTTGATGGGTATTAATGACAGCTTGTAAAAGTAGAAGGAACTTCAGCTCTCCAGCACTTGAGCTCTTTGCCTTTAGCTCTGGCTTTAGCTTTCTGGCTTTTGAACTTTTGGAGCTTTGAGCTAGAAAGTTTTTGGCCTTTGATATTTTGGCCTTTTCTTCCTGGGCTGTCAGGTGAGCTAATGAGCCTTTTGGGCTTTTTCCACTGGGATGTGAGCTAAGGAAGAAGGTCAGCTGCGTGCTTTCTCTCCCTCTCTGAGGGAGCAGGTTTTCACCCCAGCATCTAGCTCCTGAGTTTTGATTGGTAAAATAGAATGGTTGGGATTTTCATTCTTTTTTAACAACAAACATGCCTCACATGGACCGAATTAAATATGGTTTTTGAATGACTGGAATTCAGGTGTCATTTTTCAAACAATGTCATCATAGAAGATTAACCTATTTACCTTCTTCCTCATTTTCTAAAAGGTTAAAATATGCAAAATATATTCTGCCAATGCTGTGATCTTATTATTTATTTATTTGGGGGAGTGTGAGACAGGGTTTCTAAAGATAGCCCTCGCTGTGCTGAAATGTTCTATGTAGACTAGGTTGGCCTTGAGCTTACAGAGATCTGCCTGCCTCTGCCTACTGTGTGCCTGTGATCTTATTTATTTTTAAATATTGTTATTCCATTTATTTATGTTTGTGTTATGTGCATGGACACACATGTGGCATGGCCTGTGTATAGAAATCAGAGGATGACTTGTAGGAATCAGGTCTCTCCTTTTACTATGTGGTCCTGGGGAGCAAACTCGGGTTGTCTGGCTTAGCAGCAGCTGTTCTTACCTTCTGAGCTGTCTCCCAGCAAGTATTATAATCCTGTGAAAGAATTTGGCTAACTTCTTAAGATAACCCAGCTTTCTTTTTTCTTTGTGTGTGTTCTCGTAAAACTTTATTTATGGGCACTAAAATTTGAATTTCATATAGTTTTCTTTTTTATTAAATTTTTATTTTTTATGTTAATTACAGTTTATTTATTTTGTATCTCAGCTGTAGCCCCCTCCCTCATTCCCTTTCAATCCCACCCTCCCTCCCTATTTTCCTCCCATCCCCTCTCCAAGTCCACTGAAGGGGGAGGTCCTCCTCTCTTCTATCTGACCCTAGTCTATCAGATTTCATCAGGACTGTCTGCATTGTTCCTCTGTGGCCTAGCAGAGCTGCTCCCCTGTCAGGGAGAGGTGATCAAAGAGCCAGCCACTGAGTTCAGGTCAGAGATAATCCCTGTTCTCCTTCTAGGGAACCCATTTGGTTACTGAGCTGCTATGGCCTACATCTGTGCAGGGTTCTAGGTTATATCCATGCATGGTCCTTGGTTGGAGTATCAGAAAAGACCCCTGTGCCAAATATTTTGATAACCCAGCTTTCTGAGTTTTGGGGGTTTTGTTTTGTTTTGTTTTTTTCCTTTTTGGTACATTTTAATTTTTAGATCATTTCACACTCCTTTAGTTGGATTTTTTTTTCTTGTTGTTCTTTGTGTTTCTAACATCAGTTTTCAAACATCTATTGTATGTTTTAAGTCACTGAATTATAAAATTTTCATTATCTGAATATGCTAATGGTCTAAAAACAGTTTTGTTTTTCTTATGTTGGGTTAGACCTTGTATTCTGAAGTTTTAGAAAGGCCATGATTTGGTGATGCATACGTATATTCTTTTTAGTGGTAGATTGTTCAGTACATTAAAAATGTCATATTTTCAGAGTCATCTACTTTATTATGACTTCAGTTTTATTTTTTAGGATAGTATACTGGAAGAACAGCTACGAATGCATCTTCATTGTTGTTTGACACTTTGTGATTTCTGGGAGCCAAACATTGCAGTTGTCACCATTCTGTGGGAATATTATAGTAAGAACCTGGTAAGTAAACAATATTTGTTCCAGAAGTTTGAAGTTTTCTTATGATATTAGAGGGGCATTTTATGATTTAATTATGAGAAATATGTTTTTTTAAATACTAATTCTTTGGAGTAAACTGTAGCTTGTAAGTGGTTTCATCTTTCACAAATATTTTCTGTAGAAAGCTTGCATATGGAATTGGCATTTGGTGTACCTTTTCTCTTGAATGGGTAAGCAGAATAACCAGAAGATTGGGACTACACAAATTACAAGTGTTCATTAATAAATTAAAAAATAGGGGGGATGGAGAGATGGTGCAAAGGCTAAGAGCACTGACTTTTCTTCCAAAGTTCAATTCCCAACTACGTGGCAGCTCCAGAACCACCTATAATGAGATCTGGTCCCCTCTTCTAGCATGCAGGTGCATATGCTTGCCGAATATGTATAAATAATAAGTAAATAATAAATTAAAAAATAATATTTAAACTTAAGCATATAAAATTTTTTAGGTTTTCATTTTATGTGTATGTGTATTTTGCCTGGATGTATGTTTTTGCCACATTTGTGTGCAGTGTCTTCAGAGGCCAGAAAGAGGGCATCACCTCTGGAACTGGAGTTACTGATGGTTATAAGTCACCATGTTAGTGCTGGGAGTTGAACTTGGCTCCTTTGGAGGAGCAGCCAGTAATCTTAACCCCTGGGCCATCTCTCCACCTCCCCTCATTTATTATAATTTTATAATGTTCTGCTCTGACATAATTAATAGTCACTATTGTTCATAATAAATAATTTTAGTACTGGAGTAGCTTTTAAGCTAGTTGGTAGGTATATACATTATACACACACTGGTAAGAAAAAAGTTTAAATACAATACAGAAAGGTGTTTTTATACCTCTATCTAAAGTTAGAAGATTACGATCTTTTCATTTGACCTCGTTAGACTTGTCTTTCTAGTCCCAGAATGGTTTGGGCTGCAGGTACAGTATACACATTTGCATGGAGATCTAGGAGAGCATTATCTATTCCTGTTGTGGTGCATCTAGTCTAGAAGGACTAGAACGACTGTTGGAGAGATAGTACGTGAGTCTGGATAGACTGGCAGACTGAAAAGCTGACGATGATGTTCAATTAAATTTAGTTTATTCAGAAAATAGTAGAAAGCTACAATGTGACATCAAATATGTGTTTGATAATATTGTTTATGTAAATAAATGGGTACAGGTGAATTAGTAGTAGTGGTATACATAGGTAATGTGGCTGAGAACTCAGAGAAACTGTATTTAGGAAGGAGAGGGAAAATTAGGAAAATAAAAATTTTGAAGACATTTAAAGATCTGTTACTTTTGTGAGTAAGAAGAATGGGTTTAGGAGGTTTGAATTTTGGGATAAATAAATAACTTCTTTTTTAAGATAGAAAATGGTAATGGGAGGCAGTCCAGCAAATACCAAGTTTTTATTTGTACACAGAGCTTATTAAATGAGAAAAATGTGTGTGAAATAGAATATAGGCTTGTTGGGAAAATGACAGAGTTTTTTGAAACAAAATGTGTCTAAGGTGAGTTGGGACTATCCTGTCATAGAAGGCTTGGGAAATAGTCATGTCATAATCCAATTTTAAGTAACTCCACTGCCTAGAGAATGAAAAGTCCAACATAACAAGAGTAACAAAAGAGTAAATGGATTAAAGCATGGAATAACCTAACTTCTAATGAACTGAATTATTCATATAATTTTATACGATCACCATTTGTATGTTTAAGGAAATAAAGAATCTAAACCGTGAACATTATTGTTAGTTAAAAGCCAATCTCGAAATGCTGTTGGGAATCACTAATATAGGCAGATTGCCCAACAATCTAATCAACCTTCACATTGCAGAAAGTATGTGTCTCTTTATGAAATAGAATAGGAGCCATTGAGTACTACCGGTGATAAGTTCCAGCCAAAACCTTTAAGATGATCAAAGTGTCTACTGAAATGATAGGTATCAAAGAATGTTACGTGGAGATGTGAGAATGAACAGAATGTACTGTATTATGTGTTTGAAATGGTCAAAGAACAAAATCAATGAAATAAAAAGAATGTTAAGTGACCTTCAAGGAATACAAACATGAGAAACTTTACATCTAATAGCTGTATATAAAGGAATGATACATATGTTTGGTTGACACTCCTTAGGATGAATGTACTCTTTCCTCTTGTGGCCATTGCTAGAGTAGCAGCTGCCAGGTGGAGTTCATTCTCTTTGTGACCTGACAAAAGCATTCTGGTGTACCTCTTCATATTTGGGGAAAGATTTCTTATTCATTCTTCAAAGACCTGAGACAGAAGTGTAGTTTTTAGTCTGTGTCCATATGAAATGTCTTTGAAATTCAGGTCATGCAAGCATGCTATAAAGATAAACATATTGGCAAAGTTGTCTACAGTCATCTTCATTGAACTGGTACATAGGAAGATACTAATGGCACAGCTGTCGATGTAGACACTTGCACCAGCAAAGTGCTCATCACCAAGCTAAAAATAGACAGATATTTAAGAAATCCTTGAGTAGAAAGCCAAATCAAGCAAAGTAGGGAGGAAAAGGGCAAATATAAGAAATAAATAATTGAGAGGCTGGAAGAATAATTTTATACGCACCTTTTATGAAAAACGGCTTATATGAAAAAACTGCATAAAGGAATTTGATGTATGTATACAACAGAGTTTATTCAACCATACGGAATAACAAAATTGTGTAATTTGGAAGCATCATTATGTTAAGTAAAATGAGCCAGACTTAGAAAAATATCTATCTTATGTTTTCTATCAAACATGGAACCTAAATTTATCAAAAACAAGGCACTAAGGCCAGGCATAGTGGCCCATTCCTTTAATCCCAGTTCCAGCACTTGGGAGACAAAGGCATCTCTGTGAGTTTGAGGCCAGCCTGGTCTACATAGTTCCAGGACAGCTAGATCTACACAGAGAAACCCCGCCTCAAAATAAATAAATAAATAGATAGATAAATAAATAAGTAAATAAATAAATTCATTAATTAAAAGATAAAAAAATGAAAATAAAACTCAAAGCATCAAAGGAAAAGGAGGTTAGGGATGATGAAAGTGACTAGTCAGAGAGGACAAAGAAAATAAGGAGAATGAATATATGATCAAAACATATGTATGGTAGTTTAAATGAGAAATACCTTCCATGTTTCCAGGCATTCGAATACTAGTTTTCCAGTTGGTGGCTGTTAGGGAGGGTTAGGAGGTAAAGTCTTGCCGGAACAAGTGTGTCAGTAGGGACAGGCTTTGAGATGTCAAAGATAAGCACCATTCTCGGTTTTCTTCCAATTTATAGTTCAAGCTGTTCATGCCCAGTTTCTAGTCCAGCCACCATGCTTGCTCGATGTCACACTTCTCTGCTATGGTAGATGCTTATTCTCTAGAACGAACCATAAGCCGAATAAGTCTTTCCTTGTAAAAGCTGCCTTGTGTTTTATCACAGTGATGGAAAAGAAACTAAATACAGCATGCCACACACGTATGAAAGTATCTTAATGGAACCCATTATTTTGTATAATGAAGATATATATTAAGTGCTCATTATCCAAAAAAAATAAACGACTTAACAAAAATGCTGTGAAACATGGAATAAATAGGTTTTAAGGGATATAGCCTCATTAAACAAGCCAACTGCTAAAAACAGATTTTGGGAAAAATACAAAATTTAAAGACCCCTTCATGTACTCTATTTTTATGCATTTAAAACAGTTTTGGGGTATGTATGATAATTACAATCTAATAAAAATACTTGTAAGTATAATGGGTCAAACTTTAATAAGCTAATTAGTATTTGTAGCTTTCACTTTTACTAAGAAACTTATAAAACTATGCTGTGTATTTTGTTTTGTTTTTATATTTAGAATAGCTCCTTCAGCGTTTCTTGGCTTCCTTTGAAAGGCCTCACTAATATCATCAAGTCGTCGATGTCGATGCTCACAATGGCGAAGACCTACTGTTCTGATGAACGAGATCCTGACCTTTGTAAATCCAGCAGCAGTTACATCATTTTTCTTTGCATTTTGGCAAAAGTCATGAAGAAAGCAATAAAGAATAGTGGCTCTCATCCTTGGAAACAGCTTAAAGGAAGGTATGTGTTGTACAATACCTTTTTTGTCATGAGTGTTCACAAGTACATTTGGAAGTGTTGCTGTTCATGTTTTGAACGTTAACTTGTGGTCAGAGTCTTTGCACATTTAAAATGTATTCCGTAACCTAGGATGCCAATTCCCCCTTTTTGCAATTTGTTTTAATGAGGAACAAACTTAATACCCAGAAATTAGAGGGTTTCAGTTTCTTACTCAGCTAACTAGTACTGAAAATTGGAATTCTATGTGTTAAATACCAAAATATTAGGAACAGTTTTGACAACAATGAATTATAATGTTGTATAATCCTTTGCTTTAGTTTATTGAAAATGATAGAATTAAAAAAATCTTTTATGGCATATTGGAAGCAATTAGGTTCATTGTTTACATTTTTTAGGTTCGTTGTTTACATTTAATTAAAAAATTAAAAGTTTTTTAATTAAAAAATAATTATTTGATTGTTATTTATTTACCTGTATATATGTGTATGTCTGTATATAAGCATGTGCCTGAGGTTATGGACATCCTTTAAAGCTGGAATTATAAGTAGTTAGTTGTGGGTTCTGAGACTCAAGCTCTGGTTCTCTGCAAGAACAATACATGTTGTTAACTACTGAGCCATCTTTCCAGCCCCAATAAGGCTTGCTTTATTGATTGATTGATTGATTGATTGATTGATTGATTGATTAATTTATTAATTTAAATTTCAAGACTGTATTGCTCTGTGTAGGCCGAGCTGTCCTGAAACTTACTTTGAAAACTAGGTTGTCCTTGAACTCACAGAGGTCCATCTGCCTCTGCCTCTACCGCTCGGCCATTGTTTAAATTTTTTATGTTCTTTGAACCCAGAAGTTTCAGTGCTGCTTCCTTAAATGAGAATTGATCAGAACCTAGTAGAGCCAAATGGCTCTAATGTTCTCATTTGGAGAATATGCCTACTTTTCATTCTGGTTTGTTTGTCGGTCTATCTCTCCTCTTTCTCTCTCCCTCTCTCCCTCTCAGTCTCTTTCCCCTTCTCTCTCTGTTCTTCTTTTTTGCATTTTTTCTGTTGAATGGATATAATCTATTTATGTTTGTTTTCAATTTCATGACTACATGGAAACTTTTTTTTAAGCCTTTGTCATGTAGTATACCACTATATGCTATTTGCTTGTCTTGTTTGGTAAGAACACTGAGGGAGAAAATACTTTTCCTTTTTTATATAGAATTTCCTTTTTTTTTTTTGTTCTATTTCAATTTATTTATTTTTTTCTATATGTTTTTTTTTATTAATTACACTTTATTCACTTTGTATCCCCCCATAAGTCTCTCTATCCTCTCCTCTTGATCCCACCCTCCCTCCCTCTTCTTCACACATGCCCCTCCCCAAGTTCACTGATAGGGGAGGTCCTCCTCTCCTTTCTGATCTTAGTCTATCAGATCTCATCAGGAGTGGCTGCATTGTCATCTTCTGTGGCCTGGTAAGGCTGCTCCCCCCTCAGGGGGA